ATGTGTGTGTGTGTGTGCGTGTGTGTGTGTGTGTATGTATATGTATATATATATATATGTGTGTGTGTCTGCGTGTATATATATTTATATGTATATATATATAAGAACACCTTGTTCTATACTCATATACTTGCTGTCTCAAATCACCTTTTGTTGATTATTTGGGATGCAGTGTCCAGTGTTGACTATACCTGGGCGTACATTTCCGGTAGAGGAGATCTATTGCAACGTGCTTAAAGACAAAGACTTTCAGAGGTATGCCCTATTGTATATACCGACTATAACTTACCACTAGACTTGCAGCGGTGTGTACGGGTGACAATCTCTGCTTATACCGGTGATGTTATTCACAAGCGGGATACTGACTAGCACAACAAACACTCCTGCAGTACTAATTATGAAACTGAAGATGTCTGTAGAATGTTTGGATGTGGTCTCTCTCGGGACACTACGAGAGGTTCCTGGGTACAATGTGTTGTATTTGCGACATCAATTAGCAACATGACCGTATTACATATGAAACTGAACCCTACTGAGGATGTCTGTAGAATGTTTGGATGTGGTCTCTCTCGGGACACTATGAGAGGTCCCTGTGCAGTGTCTTGTATTGGCGACATCAATTAAAAACATTAACGTAGTACACATGTTACCCCAATCGTGAGCAGAACGCGACGTATTTGCAACATCAATTTCATACAGTTTTAACGATTTTGATCGTTCGACTGTCTACATTGCAACGGTGCTGAGTGTTGTGTATTCTATTTGCGACACCAATCAGGGGCGTGTATTAAATGTACACATCACACCATCTTCGTTGTGCGCCCAGCGCCTTCTATTTGCGACATTAATTGACGACTTGTATTAATTAGATTATACTACCCTAGTCCTGAGCAGAGCGCATTCCATGTCAAAGCGGTAGAGGTGGCCATGACTATCCATGAAACGCAGCCAGCAGGAGATGTACTGGTCTTCTTAACTGGTCAGGTACTACTTACAAGTACATATAGTTATGTATATATAAATATATATTTATATATATGG